TTTTTTTACCAAATAATCATTTATCATTTATTATATAACAACTATATGATCCATAAAATTGTGTTAACAATTACTTTTATTTTCCTCAAGTAACAATCTCTCCATAGCTTACTAACAACCAATAATGCTTTTACTTTTATTATAGATAAAATATTTAAAAAAACATAAAATAAATAAATAAATTCCTTAAATTCCTTGTAAGATTCCGGTCCACTGCACCGCGCGAAGCAGCATAACGAACTATATGTACTACCTTTCGCCTCCATTCTACAGCACAAGCCGGCCTTCTTCCTCTTCCCCTCTGCTGAGCTCAATCCGCAATCCACTCCTTCCTCCAAACCAAGCACCAAATCATCTCCACCAACCTCCTCAACCCTACCTTGCCGACGTCTGTCTTCCAAGGCAATGAAGGAGTGCGACAGCTACGACTCCTGCAAGCGCCGCCGCATAATCCGGCGAATTATTTACGCCATCGTCCTCTTCATAATCCTCATCCTCCTCGCAATCCTCATCGTCTGGCTCGTCCTCCGGCCCACCAAACCCCAATTCTACTTACAAGACGCCAGGGTTCTCGGATTCAACCTATCCGCGCCAAATCTCCTCTCCTCCACCATCCAAATCACCATCTCCTCCCGAAACCCTAACGAACGGGTCGGCATCTACTACGATCGTCTGGATATCTACGCAGCCTACAAGAATCAGCAGATCACTCCGGCATACAGCATCCCCGGCCTGTACCAAGGTCATAAGGACATCGACGTCTGGTCTCCTTATCTCTCCGGGTCCTTCATCCCCATCGCCCCTTACCTCTGCACCTCCCTCACCCAGGACGAAGCGAACGGATTCCTCTTCCTCTATGTCAAAATCGACGGCCGGCTTCGGTGGAAGGTAGGCAGCTGGACCTCTGATCACTACCATATCTTCGTCGATTGTCCCGCTTTTCTGACATTCGACAATCGTGCTACCGGGCCGGTTATCCGGTTCCAGCAGATGTCCAAATGCAGCGTCGACGTGTGAGATCCATTCTCAATTTGTGATCTCGCCGCCGGCGATCGCCGGATTTCTTTTATCTCGTTTTTTGGATTTCAGATTTGGGGGTGTTATGGGGGCATGTTTGGTAATTAGGGGATAATTAAGGGAAGATATGATGAAGTGTAATGATTTAATTACTGTCATTAAGAGAATAATTAATCAATAATTGTGGTTAAAAGGTCACTTTCGGTGGGGGATGAGATGTGGTAGGGGTGAGTGAGAGCTTTGGAGGATAGTTCGGTTTGGTTTGCTTTCTGGTTTACGTCTTTTTCACTTGAGCTGGAGGAAAGCGGCCTTTGAATTTAGCCTGAAGTTTGTTTTTCGATCTAAAATTGATATGAATTTTGATTAGGATCGAGTTTAGATCGAAATAAATGAGCTGAACTACGAGTTAAATTTTCAGATCGAATTTTATTCGAGCCGATTCTAACTTAATTCGGAATTTGATTATTAACCGTCCTAGTGATGTTAGGAACATCAATTTAGTGAATTCAAATAAAAAAATGGTCACTTGTTAAAAAACTGAACGAGGTTTTGGCTTCGAT